ATGCTCACCGTGGGCTGCTCCCACGGTATACGAACTGATGAAAAAGTTGAACTGTTGTAAGAAAACCGCTAAAATTTTGGATTATTAGTTTCCATTTTCCCAAAATAAAAAAGGTAGGGAGCCAAGACCCCCTACCCCTATACCTACCTCCGTCCTTGGTATGAGTAAATAAACAACCAGTACTTATTTCATATATGGACTGTTCGAGTCTAATGTAGTTCGGAGTACTATGTAAATATGTAATGATCTGGTTTGATCTGATATGATTCAGGCCATCCAATCGTTTAAATTTAGCTAATTAAACAAAATAAAGAAAGGAAAGAGGAAGCACTCGTACATTATTATGTGATTAGAATGAGAATTTAAATTAGGAGTGACTAATACCAGAAGAGCATACAAACAATGTAACGAGTAGACATTTGCCGTGTTAGTTAGGGTGTGACATATCACATACTGTATGTGTTTTTTTTTGTCGTTAGCAATAAATAAATTAATGTAATTTCCACTTGCCCACTTGTGAATTTGGTATACGCCGGTTGACAGAAAAAGACCCTATTGTGGCCTTCTTCAATTCCCTCTCCTTCCCGGCATTTTTCGTTGTTGATATTTTGCATTCTACTGTGAAATTAATATGCCTGTGATTGTCTTTATTACTCCCTTCATCTCTATATCTATATTTGTTTTGCACTCTTCATTATAATGGGGTGTCTCCGCGTATTAACGGCCCACGTAGATGCGCAAAATAACATAATCAGACAAAACCTGGCCACTTCTGCCGACGTGGTCTTACTAAATGCATACACATTCTACACATTGACGTATGATTCGGGGCACAATTCATAACATGAAAAGGGAAAGCTCTCATTGATGAATGAACATATATGAGAAAATCGGATTTCAGTCATTAAAACCTAACGGTTACTAAAAAATCGTAAATGTATCTTTTTAGTTATTTGTGCCTAACATATCCGTAACTACGAATCGTTCGAACAATTTGGTAGGTTCTTACTCTTAATCGTTCGAAAATATGTTACTACAAGTAACATATTTTTACTTGTTGGTCAAGTATTTTCCTCTTAGTATAAATATCATCTTCCAGCATGTGGAAAGGGATCCAATCCGATTTTTACTGCAAGAACGTGTTGTTACTTTGTCCAATTTTCTACTCGATCTTACCAAGCACTTTCAACCCCACTATTTCCCAGAATCCGCCTACCCGTAGGTCGTAGATCCATCAATCTTATTAAAAGTATCAACTGTGTATATGAATTTATCCTTACATGTTTTATACTCTCTCCGTCCCAAAATAAATGTCCTACTTTCCTTTCCAGTTCGTCCCAAAATAATTGTCTTGTTTCCTCTTTTAACAATAATGGGTGGTTTATATCATTTCACCTTTTTCTACTCAAATCTCAATCAAAACTTTTACCTTTTCAACCACTTTCTTAAAACTTGTGCAAAAGCAAACAAGAAGTTTATTTTGAGATGGAGGGAGTATGTGTTTAACCTTACTTTATTAACAAGGACGGACTTGTCTCCATCTTAAAGAGTAAATGCAGCTCATTTTGCTATATACTCAGTAATCAACATTCATATAAAATTATAAACCATTTTAAACTTTAGAGAAAAGTCCAAAAGTAAATTTATTTTTCTAAATTATACTGAGTAAGTGAGTATAATATTCACTAAATAAAATAGTCGTAAATGTCACACGCTTTGAAAAAGTTTGTTGTTTGAATATCGAAAACAATAATACAATTTCCTTTATATGATTGCATTATAGGGAAACAAGACTTATAGAGGCCGTTTGGCAACCCTCATTTTCGGCTTATCACTCAACTTTTTTACCAAACACGTAAATTTTGCTTTCGCGCACTGAATTGTGTAATAAGCCGAAAAAGTAAGGTTGGAGTTACTTTTCTGGCTGTATTGACTGAAATTATTGTAGATGACCATTTTAGCTATTTTTACATATATTTTTTTCTTTATTTTATTAATAAAATATATTTTAAAATTTTTTTTTTCTTGTATCAGCAGAATCAGCCAATGCAGCCACTTCAGCCAGAACTTTATAAATTTCAGCAGAATCAGCCAGAACAGTCGATTTGCGTGCTGCCAAACGGGCTCATAATGTTGTTATTTATTTATTTATTTATTTATTGACTGATTTTCTTATATGATACGATTAACATTTACAAAAATATTACTAAAATAAGTCATATTTACATAAATATGACTATTCATTACTACAATGTGGTGTTGTGGTAACTTAAGTTCAAAACTTGAACATGAATTACTATGATTTCATTACTACTCTAGCTAGTCATTAGTCATATTTTTGTAAACCATCTTTATTTTAGTCATATTTATGTAATTATTTCAAACTCTATCGAGAGAAACCGGTCAACATTTATAAAATCTCACCATCTCTGTTTGTTTATTACATTAGGAGAGGGAATGTGGAGAAAATTAAAGTTTTATTAATAGGGGTTTGTCGGTCTTCTCATTTCAGTTTTAGTATCTTTATTATTTATCCAAATTATGACATATATAATCTCATTGTTGTCCAGGAAAAACTTCATGTATTATTTTTATCATTATTTGTAGACTCTTTTTTTCTTTGGTTTGGCTAATTGAAACTTAATAGATTACTGATCACGATTCTACATGTTTAGTCAAATGTTTATATTAATTTGGCGTTTATCTAAGGGGATTATATTATCATTATTGAAAGAAGATTTAGTTGTACGAAGGTAGTAGGTGGGAACGTAAATCTATTCACTTTTAACGACTAAGGATGTTTTATTTTATACTATTTTCAGTCTCACATCAGATCATACTAGATTTAAACAGACCAGAACAGGTCATATGAGATTTAAACTAAATCAGACCACCCAAACTAGATTTTAATAGTTATAAAATACATAGAGATCAAATATTTATCAGATCAGACAAACCAATTCAGATCAAACCAATCCAGACGAGAAATAAACACGTCCGATCAATAAATTTCAATCTAACGTAAATCAGTTTTGGCTCTATTACCTTTTAGAACGTATGGATAGCTTTTTCCGACCGTGGTCGATTCTATCAATTTTAAAGTGCAAGAAGATAATTTCACTTTTTCCCTACAAAGTACCAAGGCACCATTTTATAGTTACAATTTTTAGGGTTTATCATTGTCATTTCATTGTCACGTAAAAATCTTAAATTGTATCAAAGTTTATCAACTTTTTCTCATGATCTCTATTTACTCAGTTATGAAGTTTTTTGTTTATTCAAGGAAGTATTTTAGACATTTCAAATAAAAAATATGGCTCCATTAAATGTGTTTATTGAAAGTTGAGAATAATCTTAAATAATCAAGAATTTGATATTTGATACTAGATATTTTTCTAAATAATATCATCTATTCGATCATGATCTCTAAAAAGAGCTTCTTATCCTCGAGATGATCTTACATAAACTCATAAATGAGAATTCCCTTATTGAAGAAAATTCCTTCATGGATTCCGTTAAGGTGAAAATAAAAGTTTTTATACAAAAGAAAATTCTTTATGGATCCCCTTTTTATATAACTATAAAATTCTTAACTTATGCACGTATTTTGATTTTTGAGTTAATTATCAAAATAGGACTAAAAGTCATTCACTTTTCACAAATAGGACCAAAAAATAAACTATGTTTGCATAGGACTAATTATGTGTACCTTGGACAATTATACCCTTATAGCTATTAAAATGTTTTAATTCCTAATAAAATAATAAAAAATAATAAAAATTCGTAAAAAATACTAAAAATTTAAGAAAACATTTCGATATTAAAAATTTAATTAATTTTTTTTTTCAAAAAATTAAAAAAATTTAAAAAAAAATAAAAAAAAATAAAATTCAAAAAAAAAAATTCGCCGCCGCCTCTGCCGCCTCAGCACCACCACCTCCAATCACCAGGGAAAAAAAATGCCAAGTTCATTACGAATGCCATATTCATGGCAGAAAAAATGAAAATGTTGACATTCGAAAAGAGAAATATGCCACTTTTTTGGCATTTTCAGAAAAAATGGCATTTTTCTGGGAAAATGGCATTTTTTCCATCGGCCGGAGGTGGTGGTGCTGGGAGGTAGTACAGGCGGTGGGAAAGGCATCCATATTTTTTTAAATTTTTTTACGGAGTTTTACTATTTTTTATTAATTTTTTAAAAAATAAAATTATTTTAAAAAAAAAGTTTTTGAATTTTTTATTTTATAAAAATTTTATAAATTTTTTAATTATATTTCTACGATTTTTTTCGAATTTATTATGAATTAAACATTTAATTATGGCTTTTGACTATTTTTAATTCATATTTAATGGAAGGGTAAGAATGGAATGCAAAAATAGGTATGTTTCCAATAGGACTCATATGGTCCTATTTTAGAATAAAAACATAGCAAGTCCTATTTTAGGTTTTTGCCATACTTTTAGTCCTATTTGAACTATTTTCTATTGATTTTTAAGCATGTTATCTAATAGTAACAAGTACGGAGTAATATTTTTATACCCCATAATGCTTTACATTTCTAGTTACATATACTTTTAAACTTATGTAGTTATTAAAATAAGGTTTAAATTTGTACAAAATTTATTGGACTTTTAATTTTATTTCTCTTACCGTTGTAAAATAATATTCCGTAAATACTAAATAAATTGAAAATTGAGTAAAATATCAGTAAAGGACACAATTTGAGTGTTCAACTGTTCATGTATGATATTAAAGAGTCATTTACTTCTAATTAATTTATAAATGTAGTTACAACGTATTATTTTAGACTTTTTAGTACTCAAATAGTTTATGTTAACTAAGAATGCGTTATGTTTTTTAAGAGAGAAAAATATGATAACAATTCCAATTGATGAATATGTTATGTTTTGGTCATATTTATATAATTTTTCTAATACTACGTATTATGAAAGTATTTTTTTCTTTTCTTTTTATCCAATTTGTGAACATTTCTCGATGCCTAAAGTTTGGCTTTCCTCATCTAAAAGCATTTAAACTTTAAAGTATAACTTTAAATGCGTGGAGCTCAATTTAACATTTTATCTTACTTTAAATGGGAAATAGCCGCCTGATATAACATTAACCTTTTAGACTTATTTTACAGCTACCGTGATTTCTACGGAGGACTGGCTGGCTGCCATATAGACTGAAATAATAAAAAATACGCAGTATAAGAAGCCAACTTCTGGAACATCATTTCTCAAAAGCCCTAACTTTTCTCGATAAAAATCGTTCTTTCTCCCATCTTTTCCAAAAATCTCTCTGCCAAAACAGAAAAGTTTTATTTCGATTCCAAACTAGAATCATGTGCGGAGGTGCTATAATCTCCGATTCGATACCGTCAAGCCGATCTTCCCGCCGGCTCATCGCCGATTTGCTATGGGAATCCTCCGATCTCAGCCGCAACGGAAAGAAGAAGAAGAACTCTCCTTCTGGGGGGTTCTACTCCAAGCCCTTGCGGTCTATTATGTTTGACGTCAACAATAAGTTCGAAGCTGAATTTCAGCATTTCAAGGAGTACTCTGATGATGAGTTTGAGGAGGTGGATGTGAAGCCATTTGCTCTCCCCATTTCCAAGCAGTCGGTGCCCTCGTCTGGTAGAATCTTTTATTTAATATCATTATACCGTCAATTTCGCAGCTTTAATTGTCTTTCTTTTGCCTTTAGCTTATATTCCGTAGGTTCCTGTTAATTAGGGCTATGGTGTATTGTTTCATATTTAGATTCAGTGTTTCATCTTCCATTTTATACTCATTTTCATTACTATGTAACTAGTGTTCCAATTTCTTTTAAGGTTATTATTGAAACAACGGAAAATATTTTCCTTAGTTTCGCATATCTATGAAATTGAGATAGTTTAGTTTGGCAGGGCTTTCACCTATTGATGGTCCTTCTTAGTTGTAAGGTTCAATTCAATGCTTTCTTTTTGTCAATTGCTTGCTTCATATTTTTCATCTGATTTCCCCTCCCTGTTTGTTTCCTTATCCGTAAAAGAGCAGTTCCTCGGAAATTACTGCAGTGGTAACCTGAAAAAATGATTTTTGTTTGTGCAGATCGAATATGCTTGACTATAATTTGGAAACTTTAATTTGTGATGAAAACTTTAAAGTGCATCTCCTAATGTCATTCAATAAAATTGACACCTTTTATTTCATGAAGGCTCATCCGACTCCAACTCAACTAAGGATTCTGGCAAGTCCTTGAAGAGAAAGAGGAAAAACCAGTACAGAGGAATCAGACAACGTCCATGGGGTAAGTGGGCAGCTGAGATTCGTGATCCGATGAAAGGTGTTCGTGTCTGGCTAGGGACTTTCAACACTGCAGAAGAAGCGGCAAGAGCCTATGATATAGAGGCCAGAAAGATCAGGGGCAAAAAAGCTAAAGTTAATTTCCCTGATGAAGAAGCTGCCCCTTCTGAATATGATGTTAAAAAATCAAATACTGCTGGGAAGGCGGTTCTTCCTGTCAAGGTGCCATGTCCACAACCAGATCAGCCCGAAATGTCTTTCATGCATGATATATCAGACAGTGCCTGCTATGAACAGAAACCATATGAATTCAACATAGGCGCTTATCCTGCTGGAGTAGGCATGGGTTATGACACTTCCAATCTCTACTTCAACTCGGACGAAGGAAGCAATTCCTTCGGCTGTCCTGAGTTAGGGGGGTGGGGGGAGCCTAACCCTGTGACTCCTGAAATATCATCTGTATTATCTGCTGTTGTAGAAGCTGATGAATCTCAGTTTGCAGAAGAAGCCAACTGTGCAGAGAGAATGAGACTGTCTTCTTCCAATGAAGAACTCTCGGCTCTTGAGGCAGAGATGAAGTTCTTTCAGGTGCCACCATATTCTCAAGGAAACTGGGAAGCTTCTGTGGACGACAACTTATTCCTTAATGGAAATGGTATGGATCTTTGGTCGTATGATTATGTGCCGTCTTTAATAGGGAATAGTGTATTCTAAAAGGTGGCTACAACTTTCTATGCTCCTTCACTCTTGCCATTTCTCCCTTAATAATAAGGCCAGGCTTTCATGTTAGTAAAAGCTTTTTAATTACTGTACCATTGTGTGATTGTAGGGTTTGATCTGTCTACATGTGATTATAGGGGGGAGTAAATATGTATTAAGTTTTGTTGCAAACTCGCAAGACTATTAAATTGACGCATTAAAAACTTGATGATGTCTCTAAGGATGATGATACTCTGAAGCATTTTTATTTGACTTTGTAATTTATCTATATACTGGCTGTCATTCTGTATTTCTTGTTCAGCTCAAATTGAGATCAGTTCTTGATTTCGCAAGGACATGTTGACATGAGATATGTTAGCTCAACGGAAGCTTTCTAAAAGCTGTGTTGGACCCTATTTGATAAGCTTGAACATATTTAATACGAGCCTTCATTTTGCATATCAAAGCTGGTTTATGTGCTGTGCTAGTCATCAAACACCACAGGCAATGAGTTAAAGTATCAAGTGGTCCTTCATTTGGGCGTCCCATATAAGGCTCTCTATTATTTTAAGAAAAAAATTGTTTACTTTTATTTTCTAAAAAAAAGGATGAAACCCCATCTCTGACCTGATGGCACGTTGTGAGGATGCAAGTTGGACTATAATCTCAATCTGACAGATAGAGAGTGTGGTTGGGCTCTGTCTCCGTAGCATAATAATCTTTCATTGCAGTTGCCGGGATTCGAACTCGGAACCTAATCCTTGTGACACTCCCTTGCTACCCGTTGAGCTACGCTCACGGGTTGTTTACAATTGTTATTTTCTTTAATTCATGTGAGGTCAATAGAGAACTAATTAGAAGCTTGGGGTCCTCTAACTCAAGTAGGATTTTGCCATCTTTTTAAAATACATCGTGGGTGAGATGCATTGAATGTTCTTGTCAATTCATTCACGTGTCATGGATGAATATGTTTCTGTCAACAATTTGGGTAAAGAGAGGAAAAGTCTAAAATTTCCTGTAAAGGAATAGAAGATTTGTATCAAGAGGAAGTTTGGTTGCGTGGTTGGTGAGAAGGGAGGATGTGGTATCGCTGTTCATTCTGTTCATCATTGTAACTTTAAGTGTTTTGGTGATGGAGAGTGGGCCAATAAAAATCCAGGACCAGATTCAGTGGATTGTGCGTTTCCTATCATTTGTTGTTTCTCTAGGCCCTCCCTCCTTCCCTCCCCAGCTTCTAGCCTTCAAGAGTTGTGTTTACCACACGCCCCCATTTCAAACAAGAACTATTACCATTACGGTGAGTATGGCAAACTGGTCCTACATACTCCCATTGATCACATATATTTCCATAACCCAAACAAAGCTGAATCAGTTGAAACTCCAACTCAAATTGATGAAATTTTAGTTGAATATGTTAAATTATATGAAATTATATATTTAAAATATATTTTACTAATAAAATAAAGAAAAAATTATATGAAAATACGTGAAACGGTTCCCTAAGTTAGGAGTGGACTCGGGCCGGGTCAACCGGCTCGGAACCGGACTGGCCCAGTATTGTGCGGGCCCGGACCGGCCCGGTGAACCGGTTGGTTGGCCGGTTCGGGCCATCCGGCCCGGTGGGATGGTGGTTCGGGCTCGGGCCCTTCAAAAGGTGAACCGGCCCGGCCGGTTCGGGCCCGGGCCGGGCCATTTTTTTTTTTTTGGAATTTTTTTTAAGCTTTTGGGTTGGACTCGGTATTTTGGGCCATTTGAGGTGGTTAGGGTTGGTTTAGGGGTGAGGGGGAGGGTTGGGGGTTAACTAGGAAAAGCCAAAAAAAAAAAAAAAATAGAACCGAGGCCCGGCCCGGACCCGGGGGTTACCCGGGCCGGTTCCGGGCCTCCCCTTCATGAACCGAGGCCCGGCCGAGCTCGGGCCCGAACCGGAACCGGTCCATCCCTACCCTAAGTAACTTCAGTCAGAAAAATAATTCCAACCTTAGCTATTTTGATTATATAAAATTCGGTGTGAAAAAAAATAAAACATAGATATTTGATAAAAGAGTAGACTGTTGAGCTGAAAATGAAGATTATCAAACAGGCTAAGTTTTGAAAAAAAAAACATTTTTTTTTTGCTTTTTTGTTGAAAAGGTCAAGTACTTTTAATTTAAGTACTGTAAAGGTATTAAATTGTAGAGCGTTTTAAAATATATTTCACATTTTCTATTATAAAGGAGATGTTTTTTTATTTTCAATTAATCTCTAAAATCACTTCTCAAAATTAGAACGAGGCATAAATATTCCTTACAAGTTACAACCCCTCCTCCCTGGTGGCTGGTGCATCAAACTGCCAACCTTTAATGGGGGTAGGGATGGACCAAACTGGGCCGCCCCGCCACTGTGTGGGCCCGGTCCGGTTAAGTAATGGGAGGTTCGGGCTTTGACCCGGCTCGGGGGAGGGGAGCGGTTCGGGCACGGTTCATGAAATAGGCGGCCTGGCCCGGTCGGTTCGGACCCGGTCCGGGCCAACGGCTAATTTTTTTTTTTTAAAATCTTTTGGCCATCCAAACAGGCCTTAGAGCCGTTGTAATTCAACCCAAACGGCTATATAGCCGTTGGGAGCTTTCCAGGGGGTCCCGGGGTGGGTTAGGGGGGTGAGAGGTGGGGGTACAAAAAATCTATAAATATTCCATTTTTTCTATACAATTTACTACACATCTTCTCCAAATATTCCTACTCTCTAATCTCTATTCTCTACTAATCTTCTCCATAAAAAATCTTCTCAAATTTATAACATATATTATATTTATAAAATTTACTATCTACTTATTATCTACTTATATTAATATCTAATTATTATATTATTGTTACTTATATTTATTTACTTATATTTACATATTACATATATAATTATCTCTAATTTAATTACTTATATTTACATTTTAGATATACTTAATATATACTTATATATATTAGGAAAAATTGAAAATAATAATCCCAACAATTGCCGGTCCGCTAACAATAATCCCAACTATTGATTATTTTTGTATAATCCCAACTATATGGACTGTCCGCCAATAATGGTCCATGACCGCATATTACCTGCTCTAACAAGTAAATTTTTAATAGAAATTAAGCGTAAAAATTAAAATTTGGAATTATTTATAGGGATTACCCGCTATATCTCTTTAGAAACTATAAGAATTTATTTATAGTCGGTCACGTCGGACGATTATTGATGGAAGGTGCCTAAAGTTGGGATTATTCTAAAATAATCGATAGTTGGGATTATTATGAGCGGATCGCAAATAGTTGGGATTATTACAGTCAATTTTTCCTATATATTACGGTATTATATATAAGTGTATTACTAATCTTATAGTAATATACTTATATTATATATACTATAAACATAATATTATATATTACTAGTTAATCTACTTATTATCTACCTATAAATATATAAATTAAGTATATCTACTTATACACTTATTATCTATTTATCCAATTGCTTATACACTCTCACACTCCCATTAATTTAGTTTACACACTCATACATTCTTTATTAATATAAAACTAGTTAATTGTTTCACTTATCATTTTAGTATTAGTTCATTGCTATAAAAGTAGTTAGTTGTTAGTTGTTAGTTTATTGGAAATAGTTACATTGTAAAACAAATAGTTCGAATTTTATTTAATTGGTAAACTAGTTAATTCGAAATTAATTGTTTAATTGTTACATTTATTAATCTCCTATCATTGTAGTTAATTGTTACATTTATTATTCTCCTATAAAAACTAGTTAATTGTTAAACTTGTTAAATAAAGTTGTTACATTGTAAAACAAATAGTTCGAATTTTAGTTAATTGGTAAACTAGTTAATTCGAAATTAATTGTTTAATTGTACTTCGAATTTAATATTCATTATATTTTTAATATGGAGCGTGCTAGAGCTTCTGTAGATATGGGTAACCTCCGCCGCAACCGAACAAAGGAGATTGCGAGGAATCATCCAAGGTCACGCAAAGGTAAGGGAGGGGTCAGGTCCTCATCTCAAACCCGAGATGATTTTGATGCGGATTACAACCAAAGATATGGGGATGCGATGTTAGATGAGCAATTAGAACAACTATTGCAACAAAATCAAGGAGGTTTTTTTCATCAACAAGACACCCCGCAAACCATTGACGAAGAAGAGCTCGAGGATGATGATGCGGAGGAGAGGAATCCGCAAACGGTCGAGGACGAAGTTCATGGCACACCGGACGATGAGGAAGAGGAAGCGGAAGTGGCTACTTCTTCCCAAGCCGGTGAGAAATCTGAATCTGTCTTTAAGGCAAATTTTACAAAAGTTAAAGACCTCGAAACCGAGATATGGTACGCCACTTGCAAGCATTGCAACAAAAAGTATAACTTGGGAATTTCTGGAGGGTACGGGAGCGCCACAAGGCATCTTAAGGCCAAGCATCCGGCGGAATATGCGAAATCGGACAAAGGCAAGGGAAGGCAAACACAAATTTCAAGGTTTGCAACTGGCCAACCCTTTGGTAATTTCTTCTATGATGATCAAAGACATTTGACTGGTATGTCTCATTTAATTGTTGAAGAAAATTTGCCATTTATTTTTTCTGAAAGTCTTGCTTTAAAAGAATATGCTCAAGGTTCTTTAAATCCCCAATTTCGAAACTATAGTCGCAAAACAATTAAAAAGGAAGTTATAAGGCAATATGTTTTGTAAAAGCAAAAATTACAAACGTTTTTCGCAAACTTTGATGGACGTGTTAGTATATGTAGTGATATATGGGAGGATACTCATCATCGTTTATATTATTTGGGTTTGACTGCACATTTTATTGATGATGATTGGTGTATGCATAAATATGTTCTTGCTTTTCGTGAATTTAATGATCGACACACCGGTGATAATATTTATATTCTCATTGAACGTATTTTAATTGAGTATAATTTGATTAATGATCGACATTAAATGCTACCTTATTGTGACAAAGTGCAAAGTGCATTAAATGCTAGATTGTGACATCAGCAAATGGGGAACATGGGCATACGAAGGGCGGGATTAACTACCAATTAGCATAGAGCACCCCATACCCCCATTAGTATAAATAGAGGGATTAATCTCATTGTAAAGGGTTAGAATTTTGATACTCAAGGCCTATAATAGCTTTATCTTTCTTGTTCTTGTATTAATCACTATTCCGACGTACCGTTCGGGAAGTCTCTGTGTAATCAGTAAATTGCCTAATACAAGTGGGCTCTTGAGCATTATTATTCTTCAGTTTTTATATTTCCTTATACA